CTTGACCACAACACCACTAGAGGTATCTCCCCCAGGGACTCCCCTGAAGATCATAAGGCACAGGTAAACTGATACCAGGAGAGACATTCCTTTAAGTATTTAAGTCCCAATCTGTCTATGTAAAGAGCCCCTCCAGCCTGGTTTAGCAACATGTCATTAATGCAATAGTGCTGGATTCGTATGTGCCTGTCCCCACATCATTCCACTTTATTAGCTGTTCTGTGTTGCTTTCCCAAAGTTATCACATTCTTGCTGCCTGGAAGAGCACTCTGTGGCACAACAGAAGGCAAAACAAATCAAACAAACCGAACCGGAACATTTCCGGTATAAAAAGATGCCAGATTTCAGCAGGACGTTATGGGACGTTTACCAGTTGGAAACCAAGCAGTAATGTCCGCCTCCAAACTCTTGCAGGCCCAAATGGTATTGAAAGCAGGAAGGCTTATAACTGCACTGACACCACCAGGAGCACAGTCATGAATGCACATTAAAAAGGATGTCTGGAGGGGCCCTAAATTTATGGAAGATGACAAAGCAGCAGCACTCAGTTCCACAGGTAACAGAGCTGGTATAGCATGGCGTCAAATAAGTGGGGACAAAACAGGGATAGGGGCTGGTTTACACCACAGGCAGTGGAACTTGTTTGTTGCCTTGAGAATCCCTCCCAGGCCCCATTCCTATCATTTTCCTGCTTTTAAAATTGTATCACTAGAATTATTGCGGAAGTGGGAGAAATATTTTAATACAGGGAAATGACTTGTTAATAGACATTCTGGTGTCTAATCCTCAGACTGCCCATTTCACAGGATCTCAAAGTAAAAGTCAATGGACCTTATTCCAAAATAACCACATTAAAACATGGCCTTTGAGACTCCAGTTTGATTTATGAAAGTTACAAAAGGTTCCCCCCCCTCTAACTAGAGTTAATATATCAGCATTTGTTTGTTTGTTTGTTTGTTTGTTTGTTTGTTTGTTTGTTTAAAACTCTTGAGGAGTTTCCCTGGGTCCAATAGGTAAATAAAAGTGTGAGAACTGTTTCAAAGACAAGTGTTTTCCCTATGGCCACTTGTTGGTGAACGGACGCTGCACTAGTTTCTGGAACAAAAGGATGGAATGTGAGAAAACTCCGAAAAGCCATTGAAAATGTATTGTATGATTTCTGACTTATGGAGCTTTGTTTATATTCCCTTTGCCATATACTATGACTCACAGGAAATCACACTCACACAAACATCCCTCCACAGTGGCTCCAACCCAGTTCTGCGGGCAGCCAGTTGCACATTATAGCTCCTGGCCCTAGTTCTCCTTGAGACTGACGCTTCACCATCTTACAGGACTGAAAAGGGAAGGTGGAATTGACTCAGCAGGACTTGCTTTGCTCGAGCCCCATTTCCCCCTTTGGGGTTGCTGCCATGTCTTGTGTGAAAGACCTTCAGGCTGCAACTCGCCATCCATGCAGCTCTGTGCATATTTACAGGGAATCCTACAAACACCAGCATTTGAGTTAAGTCTCACTGGATGTGACGGAAGTTGGAATCCAGTCAATAACACACACACACACACACACACACACACACACACACATAATCCTTTATTAGGCATAGCAAACCACACATTATCAAACAGACACTGTATACAAATTGTGCAAAATACGAGCTCAACATAACAAGGTTTGTCCCGGTCAGATCTTTAACTCCAGAGAAAATCAATTTGCATAAATAATACAATACAGCACTAGCGAATCCCCGACAGACCATTGGCCAGGTGCAGAAAGGCTCTGCTATGTTCTTATTGCCGAGGCCTCTACAAAGCCACCTGTCAACTCCTGGCTTTGGGCAAACCACGATCTTTCAGCCTAGTATAACTGACAGGTAACCTTATGTATGGTGCACTGCATATCCTGAGAGGTGTATATAAAAGTGATTTGGTGCACGTAACTCAGTTGCGTTTCACCACTGAAAAGGGCATGTGGAGTACTCCTCGGCAGAAGGAACGTCATTCCTCATGCACAGCTAATGTATCTTCTCTCCCCCTTTCGACAATCCTTTTGTTCCTGTAATGAGCAAGTTGCCGCACACGTCATTTTTTACCTTCCAAAAACGCCACCTTTTCAGTGTTCCTCGCACGGTGAGGACAGATGCTGCCACACAAAGTAAGTGTATTGCAATGGAAATGTGAAAAAGATACTGCTTTGCCCATATGAAACGCCGTAAATTTTGGGCCAAAGTAAACTTGTCAGAATTACGCCTCTGTAGTTCACACCAGGGAGTGGTGCTGCACAGCTGGGGAGCTGAGCTAATAAGTGATGAAAAACAAAACAAGAAAGGGGGGGGGAGGCTATTATGGCAGCACATAAACTGGGGGAGGGGAATACATCCCCGCCCCACTTTAGACAAATAAATGGCAAAATGTGGAAGCCATAAACATGAGCTCCCAGAAGTATAAAAATGGGAGCAGGGAGGGGCTGGACAAGTGCTTACCTCACATGTGTTTTCTGAACTAATCCACATATGAAGGCGATTAAAATGCCTTCAACAAATTGCAGTGATACTCAAAGTGAGCACCGGGCCTCCCTAAGGACGTATGGTTAGTTGCCAAGGAAGGTGTGAGCAAAACGTAGAGAATACAGGCAGAAAGCAGGAGGGAGAAATGTGGACAGGATCAGGCTGTGTTATGTACTGAGTTGAATAGGATCCAAACTGCAGCAGTCTGATTGGTCCTAGAACAATAGGATTCAGAATGCAGCAGTCTGATTGGTCCTAGAACAATGCAGCAGTATGATTGGTTGGCAGGAACCACCCAATCATGCTCCAGATAGAAGTGAATCCACAACCTGATTGGCTTACAGTAGAATTCCGGAATTAGCCAATCATGTGCAGCCCATTGTGTAAATAATGTATATAAAGCTGATACTTTGAGGGGACATTCATTCATTCCTCCTCACCACTATGAGCTGAATAAAGAGCATGAAATCACTTTGCGACTCTTGAGTATATTTCAGGCTGCATGACATGCAAAAACACCCGCACAGCAAGATTGCAAGCCCATAAGCATTTGAGTCCCGGTGAGTTCGATGCAGTGCTGGTGAAGTCAAAATGCCCTCTGGGCCTCTCCTTGCACCACCATTGTGGGTCTCTCTTACTAGAGAACCGCTGTGTGGGGAGAGAGACTATGGGGACAGGGGGTGAGCAGCCCAGCACCAAGTAGACCAACAGTGGGCAAAATGGCTGTAGCAGCTGCCATCTTCAGAAAGGTACGTATATTTCAGATGAACAGTAGGTGACATATCTGATGTTAAGAGAAACCTAGCAAGAGAACCAATTCCTTAGTATGTTAATGGACTCTCCATCACTTCAAACTCGGGTCTTCAAAACGAGCCTAGACAGCCGTTTGATGGGCTCCCTGCTGTGAGAAGGGAACGCAGGAAGCTGTATTACTCTGAATCAGACCATCTAGCTCAGTACTGTCTACACAGACTGACAGCAGCAGGGTCTCTTGCAGGCCTACCTGCAGACATCAAGGATTGCATCTGGGATCTTCTGCACGCAAAGCAGTTGCCCTATCACTGAGCTATAACCCTTCCCTTCTGCAGGGTTAGACTACTAGCTCGTTGGTATTCAGCTACTGGGTCATGGCCTGATCTAAGGTGGGTTGCAGCAGCAGCAGCACAACAGAAATAGATGGTAAGGAATTAATGAATTCCCAAATGCCAGGCAGGTTCCAGGTTGGAAAGGTTGAAGACTACTGGACTGGTCCTACAAGGCACCTTCCCATACTGTGCCCCTTATGATTAAGTGAAATTCAACCAAATACTTTCTTACTGCCTATTATCTTACTGCATATTATCAATCCACATCACAACTGCCTTTTTGCTAATGAAAGCAAACATCTCCAGAAGTTCCTTCTACTTTTTCCCACAGAAAAACTGAAGGTGGCAAGCTCCTCACTGGGAAGACTTTCACAGAAAAATACAAGCCACCCCCCCAACCCCAAATTTAAAGCACTGGGACTTTAAAGGAGCATGACCCACACAAAGGAGGAATTAAGAGAGTTCCGCAGACTGAAAGGATGGTAGGACTAAATTAAGCAAATAGGGGCTGGTCTACTGCTGGCATTCCCACCCTTTCCAACACACACCTCCCCTCTGTCACCTTTTCAGACCGCTCCCCCCCCCCAAAAAAAACTACTTTTGTTCCTTTGAAAGTCCTTTACAGCCCTATTCTCTGCTTCTCTAGTCAGAAGGAAATTCCACTGAATCCAGTGGGGCTTATGCCCAAGAAAGTGTGCACGCACAGGATCGCCATCTTTATTTGTGTTGCCGTTAATGTGTGCGCTGTGCACAACCCTGGCAACTGCTTTAAGTATGAGGGCTCAACCCTGAACTGTATGTTGATAAGAAAACGAAACGAAACGAAACAAGGCCCTGGGGAGAGCGCATTCCCCTCCTCCCCGTGCTACCTACAGAGAATCGCATCGCTGACTAGCAGAAACACCTTACAGATCAGAGAAGCGTTTCCAGGTATTGCTTAGTAATCAGGTTACAATCCTATGCCGACTCCCTTGGGATACGCCCGGTTCATGTCAATGGGAATTATTGATGTTAAGTATGAGACTGCACTGTTTAAAAAAAGGAAAAAGCAACTCTCCCCTGCAGTTCCTCTCGTCTCCTTCTAACGTTGCAATACCACGCGGAGATAGGCGCATTTCAATCCACGGCTTGCAGTGGGTCCCCAAATGTTGTTGAACCACAACTCCCATCACCCCTAGCTAGCAATGGCAGAACTCAGGGATGATGGGAGTTGTAGTCCAACAACATCTAGGGACCCACAGGTTGAGGACCGCTAACCCAGCGCTGGACGGAGCTGCGCAGCCTACCCGCCTTCGCTTTTCTTCCCAGCCGCCTCACCCAGAGCGGCAGCCGCGCCTGCGCTTTTACGCAAAGGGCTTCCTCCTCCAATGGAAGGGCGCGGACTTTCCGTGCGACGCGCCGGCGCTGTGCGCCCTGGCCGCCCCTTTCCTCCGGAGGGTTGGGACAGCCATGGCGGCTCCAGCGGCGCTGCAGAGGAGCGTGGTGGCCCCCGCGGGGAGACACACGGCTTCCGTCATCTTCCTCCACGGCTCAGGTGGATGAGTCCGACCGCAGAGCGGAAAGCAGGGGGCGCCACCGCGGAAGCCTCCCCAAGCTTCGCCAATAAGGGAGTGGGCTGGTTGCGGTGCCATTTCACAGCAAAGGCGCACAGAAAGGGGCGTAGGGAGAAGAGAGTTGGGTGTTTTCTATATACAGTACTGTCTTTTGCTCCTTTGTGCAAGGAATCATGGAGTTGTAGAGTTTGGAGGGGTCCCCCCGAGAGTCATCTAGTCCAACCCTCAAAAAGGAATCTCAAAAAGCATCCATGGCAGATGGCCATCCAATCTTTGCTTAAAAACCTCCTGCCAGGTTCCAAGGGAGTGTCCACAGCTCTTCCTTGGAAAGAAAGGTTTCAGAAGTTCAATCCAGCCTGAAAGGTGGTCTCAATCCTGGACGAATTGGCAGAGATGGGGATGCCCTCGGGTGGCACATTGCTGGATGAAAGTTGTGCCTATGGTCAACGTTGCAGCATGAATTCAAAGCACATCCGGTGCACATTTAAAGCACGTGACTTCCCCCAGGGGATCCTGGGGATGGCCATTTCCCCCTCACAGCTAAAACTCCCAGCACCCTAAGCAAGCTAGGGTTCCCATGGTTCTTTGGGGGAAATCGCATGCTTTAAATGAGCATTGGATGTGCTTCAAGTGCATGGTGTAGAGCATTACATGTCATTTTACATCTGGGTGGTGATCTTTTAAACTAGGGCTTGGGAAATTGGCCATTCTAGTGTTACCGGAATCAGTCACCCATCAGTCCCAGCCAGCATAGCCAATATCCAGGAATGACAGGAGCTGTAATCCCAGCAGGAGGTGCAGGGCACCAGGTTCCCCATTCTTTGTCTATTGGCTTGTTTGTTTACAGAGAGATTGGACAACATTTTCCTGTGACTTCCTTATTGCAAAACTAAAGCTAAAAACAATAGTTCCATTGGGGAAGCAGGTTTGTTGCTCAAGAGCTACAAATCGCCTTTAATTGCACAGCCGGAATTAGACAGTATATAATTGAATCCCACCCGAAATTAGTGACGATCTGGAAGCGCACTTAGGGGGACAGGTCCGATTGACATTCTTCCTGTGGACTGGTATCTCGCTCCACGGTGATATCTACTTCCTACCTACAACAGTACCAAAAGCAGTTGCACCTTAGAAGTTGCGTGCCTTCTGCATTTCCATTGCCTTTCAGTTTGCACTGATTTTTAAGCTGATTTTGGGGACGGACAGTATGTGTGGACAGCACGTGCTCCACCTCAGAGTACTTTAGCGCCTGTGAAACTTTCATCACCTTAGGGCTACCTTGTTTACCTGACCACAGGCATGCTGAGATTGTTATTCCTCGGCAGGTGCTATCCTCTTCCAGCCCTTTCATTTGTAGTGTTTGCGTAGGTGGACTAGATCAAAGGCTTTTAGATGTGGTTTTAAATAAACTTTTTTTTTTTACACAAAAAAAAGTGTGAAAGGGGTTATAGCACTCTAAAGTTGTTTAAAATGTTTTTACTACCTGAGTGTAAACTTGTGTTTATAAGGGATCGTTTTTCATGGAAATCGGGGGGGGGGGGGGCTGTAGTTGCGAGTACGAGGCCCAGAGACAACATCTGTTCCTCAAGTGAAAATTTATTCAGAGTATGAACTCTTGAGTCCCTTGTCTCATACCCCCTTGCTGTGTAGATTTCAGGATGTTGCAGCTGAGGGGGAAAGAGGACCAAAGGATGGGATGGCACAGTATCAGGCCATGAGTCACTGCCAGAAGCATTATACCTCTGAATGCCAATTTCTGGAAATCCCAAGTTAGGAAGACAGTGTTGTGTTCAGGTCCTGCCTGTCTGCTTCGCATTGGTATCAGGTTGGCCGCTGTGGAAGCAGAAGACCAACAATATTTGGAGGGCCATGAAGGGTAGGCAAGGCTCTTACCCTGAACGTGCAACAACCATAAAGATTTGGTGCGCACCTTGGAAACTCCCATTAATATATCTTGAACACTGGCCTGGGGGAATTTCATAATCTATTGTTAAATGATAAGTTGGGAAATGAAGCTGCATGCTGGATGACTCAGAAACTATGGACTCTATACCAAAGGAGGCAATGATGGCCAACCACTTGGATGGTCAATGATCTGCAGTGGGCTAGGAACAAAGGTGAAAGCTGTTTCCTAGTTCTGCTGGATCTCTCAGTGGCCTTTGATACCATCAACCATAACATCCTTCTGGACTGTCTACAGGGGTTGGGAGCTGGGGGCACTGCCATACAGTTGTTCCGCTCCTTTCTCCTGGTCCGTGTCCAGAAAGTGGTGTTGGAAGATGAGTGTTCAGACCCCTGGGCTCTCACTTGTGGGGTGCCTCAGGGTTCCGTCCTCTCCCCCATGCTTTTCAACATCTACATGCATCCGCTGGGAGAGATCATCAGGGGGTTTGGGCTGGGTGTTCAACAATATGTGGATGATACCCAGCTCTACCTCTCTTTTAAATCAGAACCAGTGAGGACAGTGAAGGTCCTGTATGAGTGTCTGGAGACGGTTGGAGGATGGATGGCATCTAACAGACTGAGGTTGAATCCTGACAAGACAGAAGTACTGTTCTTGGGGGACGGGGGGCAGGCTGGTGTGGAGGACTCCCTGGTCCTGAATGGGCTAACTGCCCCTGAAGGACCAGGTGCACAGCCTGGGAATCATTTTGGACTCACAGCTGTCCATGGAGGTGAAGGTCAGTTCTGTGTCCAGGGCAGCTGTTTACCAGCTCCATCTGGTACACAGCCTGTGGACTGCCTCGCCAGTGGACTGCCTCTCCCGCTTGGACTGTGGACTGCCTCTCCCGCTTGGACTACTGCAATGCTCCCTGCGTTGGGCTACTTTTGAAGGTGACTCGGAAACTGCAATTAATCCAGAATGCGGCAGCTAGACTGGTGACTGGGAGTGGCCGCCAATACCATATAGCACTGGTCCTGAAACACCTACATTGGCTCCCAGTACGTTTCTAAGCACAATTCAGAGTGTTGCTGCTGACCTTTAAAGCCCTAAACGGCCTCGGTCCTGTATACCTGGAGGAGCGTCTTCACCCCATCATTCAGCCCAGACACTGAGGTCCAGCTCTGAGTGCCTTCTGGCTGTTCCCTCACTGCGAGAAGTGAGGTTACAGGGAACCAGGCAGAGGGCCTTCTTGATGGTGGCACCCGCCCTGTGGAACACTCTCCCATCAGATGTCAATAAGCAACTATCTTACTTTTAGAAGACCTCTGAAGGCAGTCCTGTTTAGGGAAGCCTTTAATGTGCTGTATTGTGTTTTTAATATTCGCTTGGGAGCTGCCCAGAGTGGCTGGGGAAACCCAGCCAGATGGGCGGGGTATAAATAATAATAATAATAATAATAATAATAATAATTATTAGATGGCTTCAGAAGAAGATTGGACAGATTCATGGAGGAGGAGAGAGCTGTCAGTGGGTACTAGCCATGATGGCTGTGCTCTGCTTCCATAGATAGAAGCAGTCATGCTGATTACCAGTTGCTGGAATCTTTTGGAGGGGAGACTGCTCTTGTGCCTGGGTCCCGCTTGCCCGTTTCCCACAAGCATCTAATAAAAAAAATATCATTATCTGGCTTGCCCCTGTGAGAGAAGGATTCAGTGGGAGTAGATGGTCCATTGGCCTTACCTGGCAGGCTCCTCTTGTTATGAAACATTCTGACGAGAAGTTCAAATACACAAACTTGTTAAGCTTTCTGGCTTGCCGTCCTTTCCCTTACAATATTTTTCTCCAATATACTCATACAGTGGTGCCCCGCAAGACGAATGCCTCGCAAGACGAAAAACTCGCTAGACGAAAGGGTTTTGCGTTTTTTGAGTCGTTCCGCAAGACGAATTTCCCTATGGGCTTGCTTCGCAAGACGAAACGTCTTGCGAGTTCCTGCGAGTTTATTTCCTTTTTCTTAAAGCCGCTAAGCCGTTAATAGCCGCTAAGCCGCTAATAGCCGCTAAGCCGCTAAGCCGCTAATAGCCGTGCTTCGCAAGACGAAAAAACCGCAAGACGAAGAGACTCGCGGAACGGATTAATTTCGTCTTGCGAGGCACCACTGTAGTTTATAATTGTTATTCATAAAAGAGGAGCTTTGGTTTCACCAATTGGCAAAACTGGGAGACAAAAGTCATCCAGCTATCACAAAACCACATGTGCTCACCTGGGAATCTGTTTGGGGTAATTTTTGGACAATGTGACCCTGGCTTATTTCCGTGGTTTGTTAACTGACGTTAAGGCAGCGTTCCCTGCTTCAGTTATCTGGCTTAATACAAGCCAGGATCTTCGCACAAAAACTGATCTATAACAGGAGAATGGGAAGGGCCCTGGGGGAGGAGTCTCGGCTCCATAGCATACGGAGCCTGGAATGATCACCTGAACTTGGTCACTGAGTGGTTAGTTATCCTGAAATCCAATAAGGCTGAGCACCTTTGTCCAGATGACGTTCTGTTTTTCTCTTGGATAATGCAATTCTATATTTGTGTATTACGAAGAACAAGGCCTGGCCTTTGGCATTGTGTAGATATCTAAAGTAGCCTTTATCTTTCTGTATTACTTAGGTGATACCGGCCAAGGATTAAGAGACTGGATCAAAGGGGTTTTGAGTCACGATTTGTCTTTCCAGCATATAAAAGTCATTTATCCAACAGCTCCTGCCAGGTATTTCTTTAATGCATTTTCATACTAGCCTTCCTTTATTGCCTTCTTTAAAAACAGTTTGTTATTAAAGTTGTAACTAATTGACATAAAGGTTTGCAGATATGTCCTAAGTTGAATTCGCAAAACTACTTTTCTCCAGATATGTTGTGACATTCGCATTTACCCCCAGTGTGATGGCAAGTTGTAAGTAAGATGTATAATGTGTTTATTTGATGACAGAGGTAGGCTTTGACTTCTGATATATAACCACTTAAAGGAGGAGGGCAGAACACTCCACCTCTGCTCTTCAGTATGTACTGGGTTTCTCAATTAATTATCCCTCGGTATGAATAGCAATACAGGTTCCCTAGTTGATTGATAAATCCAGCATCCTCCATCTGAAAAAAAACACCATAGTGCCAAAGCCTCCAGTGAGCATATATGCAAGTGCTTTCTGAAGTGGAACAATAAAGCTTTTTATTCTTTAAAAAAAATAAAATTAGAACAATTATTTCAGGATTTTGCAGTACATGTAATTGTGACTCCCCCCCCCACATGTGCACATGTGTATACTACCCCCTAGAAAAGAATAAAAAATAATACTTTCTATATTTGTTTTTAAATAAATGGCTCTTGTTAGGATCTTTGGCTTTAGCACTCTCGCAAATTGTCAACCCCATTCACATTTCCTGAGTTACCTGCAGTGAGTCTGATGTCACTGTTTCCCAGAGATCAGAGGAAGCCTTTCTAAAGCCATTGTCCGTCCTTCCTTCCTTCCTTCCTTCCTTCATCTCTCTCTCTCTCTTTATTTTTGGGCTCTAATGTACTGCTGCTGTTGAGACCTTTATTAATGATGCTGAGGAAGGCAAGTCCAATCAGGGTGAATGGCAGAAATAGCTAATGCAGCATAACACTCTGTGCGGTGCTTAGTTGGCTCTCGAAATCTGTTTCTTTGACTCACTAATTAATTAATCTGAATTACTAGAATTAACCTGATTCCATCTCCCTGGTGCCAGCAGGCCAGCTGTGCAACCCTAAGATTTGTTGTGCCACTAAGTCAATGATTAGCATATAGAGCATGCCAATTGCAGCACAGGCATCAATTTGTGGGTGGGAATATTTTAGGTTTTGTGATGCCATGTTGCCAGGTCTGTGTGAAAAGTAGGCAGAGCCTTCTTTTTTCTTCTTTTTCTAAGCAATGCAACCACAGCTCACTTTCAGCGACAAGGCCAGCATGGCAGAGTTTGCCTGGAAAACTCATCAACCAATGTGATAAACATCTGTGGGGAATACTTTAAGTATAGGCTGTCTTCCCACAGTCAGAATTTGGTGTAAATCTGTGATTCCCAAACTGTGCTATGACAGGCATACTTTTGTGCTGCAACAGGAACTATAAGGTGCCTTGAAACATTAACGGAGAGTCTTGTGGCCCCTTAAGGACTAACAGATTGAAAATTGCATATGCTTTTACGGACTACAGTCTGCTTCATCAGATGCATGACATGTTACCCTCGTGTGTGTGTGTGAGAGAGAGATGTTATACACACATAAGACCCTGCTGAACCAGGCCAGCAGCCCGTCTAGTTCTCACAATGGCCAATCAGATCCCACAGAGACCACCAAGAGGCCAGCCACACACACACACAAACCATAGTGTAAATGGGAGTGTAAATATTGGCATCAGAAGGAAAGGAAGAGAAATCCAGCTGTTAATAATAATAATAATAATAATAATATTTATGCCCCACCCATCTGTCTGGGTTTCCCCAGCCACTCTGGGCGGCTCCCAACAGAAGACTAAAAACAGAATAAAACTTCAAACATTGAAAACTTCCCTAAACAGGGCCGCCTTCAGATGTCTTCTGAAAGTCCAGTAGTTTTTTTCCTCTTTGACATCGGGTGGTAGGGCGTTCCACAGGGCGGGTGCCACTACTGAGAAGGCCCTCTGCCTGGTTCCCTGTAACTTGGCTTCTCGCAGCAAGCGAACTGCCAGAAGGCCCTTGGAGCTGGACCTCAGTGTCCGGGCTGAACAATGGAGGTGGAGACATACTGGACCAAGGCCGTTTAGGGCTTTAAAGGTCAGCACCAACACTTTGAATTGTGCTCGGAAACATACTGGGGAGCCAATGTAGGTCTTTCAAGACCGGTGTTATATGGTCTCATTCACAAAAAGGCCGGCACTTGGTAACACAGGGATTCTAGCATGGGTAAGCCAATTAACACATGTATTGTGTCCATTGTGCTGATTTAGGCCACAAGTGATAGCATTGAAGGAGCCACAAGATTCGTGGGATGGAGAATCACACTTTTCCATTCCTTCCTTCCATGCAAGCAATCCAGTCGGAACAACCTCTCCCCGCCCATGCACTGTTCTCAGGGTTCTGCTGTTGCTGGGTCCAAAAGCCTCCAAGGACGTAGTGTGTTAGCCAGTGTTTACATCTGACATGAGGAAATGTGCCCCTCTCCCCCCATTATCCCTGATCCACCCCTGGGATTGCTGGCTGCGGCTGATGGGAATTGATAGTCGATAACAACTTAAAGGGGAGCCTTCCCTCCCTCTGGTTTGCATGCAGGAGGTGAATTTAAGGGATGTGTTTTTCGAAAGCAGAGTTCTAGAAGGTTCATAGTTGTGGCCAAACGATACTTTTGCAAACGCTGGCAAACTTACCGGCTGGGAATTACGGTTTGCATTTGCATGAGTCATTGAATTAAGGGAGATGTAGAAATAACAACTGCATCAACTTTCAGTGGTTAAATATAACTTCTAGCGTAATCAAAGACATGCTTACTCAGAAGCAAGCCCCACTATGTTTAGTGAGGCTTTTTTGCAGGTAAAACTGCGTAAGATTGCAATCTTAATCTTTTTTGTCTTTTCAGTCATTGTGAGTAAATGTGCTGTAACTGAAGTCGGGGCTTTAAAAAACACCATGCACTGCCACGTCTGTCCAAGTGGTTTTTAAAAGCAAGCGGGGCAGACATAGCTGCAAATTTATGTTTCAGCTGCTGGAAGTGTGACTTAAGCATTTTGTTTTCTTTTGAATGTCTAAATTTGAACAGAATACTGCTCCTTTTTTTGCTGTTGCCTTTCTGTTCAATAGAAAGTGATAGTTTAAATTGGCATTGTAGCAGCTAACGTGGTCAAGTTAAAATTATGTCGTCTCCACTTTTTTGAAATAACTATTCCATACCTTTTTATGTTTCCCTTCGGCAAATCTAGGTCAAAGAATCTTTGCGTTATGTAGCATTTCCTTCTTGAAATTCTTCCTGCTGCAAATCCAGAGTTAACCTATCAGTAAACAGAGACACCCTGCATGTGCTGTTTTCAATAGCCAACAGATAAGTTATGTGCTTTTTAGGATACATTTTGCAAAGAATTTTGATCTCTTTTCATTTGAGTAAATATTTGTGGAGCCCTGGAAAATGGCATTGCAGAGTAGTGTGGACTTTCCCCCTCCCCTGAGATTACAAAGCAATGCGGACTCCCACCCACCCCACCTTGAGCTTTTCATAGGAGGTCCCTCGCTCCTTCTCTAGCCACGGTACAGAATCTATTATTATTATTATTATTATTATTATTATTAATGCCCCACCCATCTGTCTGGGTTTCCCCAGCCACTCTGGGCAGCTCCCAACAGAAGACTAAAAACAGAATAAAACTTCAAACATTGAAAACTTCCCTAAACAGGGCTGCCTTCAGATGTTTTCTAAAAGTCAGATAGTTGTGGGAGGGCATTCCACAGGGCGGGTGCCACCACTGAGAAGGCCCTCTGCCTGGTACCCTGTAACCACTTCTCACATTGAAGGAACCAGAAAAAGACCCTTGGCGCTGGACCTCAGTGTCCGGACTGAACAATGGACTTGGAGACAGTCCTTCAGGTATACTGGGCCGAGGCCATTTAGGGCTTTAAAGGTCAGCACCAACACTAGTTAGTTTGGCCCTGTTTCAAGTATATTGGCAGCTACTTGATCCACAGTAGCTTTTTAAAAATCATAACTGGGCTGAATCAGTAAAATTGTGTCGGCAAGATTCCACAGCATAGTACCCACTCAGATTCTCAAGCAAATATTTCATTAATTCCCATCTCTGTTCACCAACCTCAACCAACACAGTCTGGTCTGAATTGAGATCTTTATAGATGTCTACAAGGGAGCCAGGGGTTCCTGTACTTTGGTTCTGTTTTGTGGTGCCATCAATGAATCACAGGAGAAGTTCAAGTCTCTTTGCATTTCTTTTCTACTGGATCTATTTGCTTTTGGCAAATGGATGGTTTTTTAGGCAGGCAGTGTTAGAGAGTTCACTTATAGGAGTTGTAGTCAAACACTTGGAGGGCTATGGGTTCTCAGTCAATTGAGGCAAAACCTAAGCCCTGTTGGGCCCAGTTGTGCAAGATTTCACTAGAGATTTTAGAACTCTATATTGTGGGGACCTTACAATTTGTCTCCTTATTCAGAATTGTGTTATTTCTTGTCACAACCCAAGAAGCAAGAACTATTTTCCTTGGTGTCTCTTTTGGAGGCTCCATTCGTTTATGATTGTATTCAGTACTTTTATAACTGCAAGATCAAGTGATGACTTACATGTGTGAATGGACCATACAGAGAGAAAAACCCAACAGCCGATCATCCAGGTATACGGAAATCAAGTAGAGTGAAAAAAGAGCCGTGTTTACACCGATGTGTAAATCAGTTCTTCCAGGAGGAAGCTAGTAAAACTAGCGCCAGGTGTACCTGAATTCTTTCTCTTTGTCTTAGACATTGTAGTTTTTGCTTCTGGAGGATATGCAGTAAAAAGATTAAAATGATTGTAGTTGCACCAAGATTCCCCAAGTGCAAGTACTGAGTCCTCCCTCCTCTCCTGGAGTCTTTTAGTTGCCCTTGGTTCAGGCATTCACAGTGTAATATTCGGTGGATTGCTAGCTTTTAATATTATAGATATGTTTATTGAAAAGTTTGGATGCCTAGATAGTCCCTGAGGAATTTTGGATTGCCAGCTTTATCCCTGCATAAATATAAACCTGAAATGCATTCTAGCTTATACTTTAAAACCAATCCGTTAAGTCTTGCATCCTAAATTTTCTGAAAGTTTGGAGCCAAAGAAGTGATACAGGGGCAGGTTTAAAGTATATGGCTGTTTCTAGTAGAGGAAGACTTCTTTTTTGTCTTAGAAATTATTGTAATCCTTTTTAATGATGTTTTGAGGTTTTGAAGTCGGCTTGGCTTTATAGCATATGGACATGGAAACTGGAAAACCTTACTGCAAAGCCTTAGGCGCAGATTCAGGAAAGTAATTAAGCATATGCATCCATCTTTGATGGGTGAAGAACTAAAATGGATGAGATCTTGGGCCAAGTGGTTAAATCAACTCGCGTTGAAATCGGGGACACTTTAAACATTGTGTAACTTTGGTTGGGTTCTGCCCAGGGCTGATGGAAGCAGGAGAAATTTCAGCAGACGGCATTTATTACAATGAAGAAGCAGAGCTGACATTTTTAGATTGTTATTTTTGCATGTGCACATACATTAATCTGCTCTTCAGAGTGGTAGTGGAAAACGTTGGCATCGGTGCTGATGGCAAACGCTTCTTTTGCCAATGGGATGAGAGCCAAGAGACGTCAGGAGCTAGTACCAGCAGATTAATCCACACAAAGAGGGACGTCAAGAAAAGAAAAGAAACCTCTTTGTTCTGTTGTTGAAGGAATGGCATCTTTACTATAGCCACGTCTACCCAGATTTAGCACACACAGTTTGCAAGAAAAGGCTCTGCTGGCTGCTTCTTTTAAAAAAAATAATAAAAAGGTGCAGTGTTTGCTTCTCTGTACCATCTGACAGCCTAATTGCCCATTAAAATTAGGCTTCAGATCCACACTGTATCGTCCCTTACCTGACAAATCTTTTATTTTGCTGCTAAACTGGATTGATGGTCCTGGAACTAGGCTGGTTTCCAGAGCTTCTTGGAAGGAGTGAGCTACAAATTCTTCTTTCTGTTACACTTAAAAAAAAAAAAAAAAGATGAGAAGGGGACAGCACCCCCTGTTTAAGCACATGCATTCTGAACTAAACCTTCTCTTGCATTCTGATTTAGAAGAGCAGATCATATGCAAAAGGGTCAGGCAGGGTACCATTAGCGTTAATGGAGGCAAAGGATGCAGACTTTTGGAGGAATGGCTGCACATGTTAAAAAGAACAGGGGAGCTCTATATGAAAAGGGGAGTTCCATATGTGCATTGTGGTAACTATGAGCCAGTTGCGTTGGGTTAATGAAGATCAAATCACACACAGTGGTGACAGGTCTTGGGTTAAAGTATTTATAAGCCACCTTTAACACAGGTTCCATGCATTTAACATGGAATAGTTTCAGTCGCATGGAAATATGGGGATGGAAAGTTTGTAAACCGCCTCCTTTAGTGGGAAGTTGCACTGCAATTTCAAACCAAAGCCGTACCTGCAAGCTGTTACAAACCCCATGGTCAACAAGTATAAATTCTGGTACATCTGCAGTTCCTAAATCAGGCCACCAGTTGTCATTAAGGAGGAACCACATTTACAGGTGCCATTCAAGTCATCTATTGAAAATGTTAATCCAAAGGGATGCAGTCCCATATAGGAATGGGCCAATATGCACCATGTAGGGAGCAACCAAGGAAATAATGAACATGCACTGAAAAGTTGTATTTATTATTCATTAGAATTTTTATATGCCACCTTTAAAGCAGATGTTGCCAATGGGAGCATACAACAGAGTAATTTGAGGGGGGGTTTTCTTTTTCCATAAGATTTTATTGGAAGCTTTTTCACGATATAATAAGATAAAATAAACTTATCTAAATAAAAACAGAGAAAGAGAAAAGAAAACACAGAGTCCTCTCTCAAAGGGATTTCTTGACTCTCGTCTCACACAGAAAGTGGTAGACCCTCCCAGCTCTCACCTGGGAGCTTTCCTTCTCCCAAGTCTCTCAACCTGGGAGGTCTTCCCTTCCCTGTCTCTCACTCAGGATCCTTCCATCCATTCACCACCTTCATGTGCTGGTGTAATCCTTGGACCCCCAAGGATACAACATGGCAATTTGATATAATCTATGAAAACACATTACAGTTTTGCTATAAGCAGAAAGACATGGTACACTTGGGGCTCTTTTTAATCTCCTAGTTCTAAACTGAGAGAATCGCAGATATCTAGTCTCCAAAGCAACCCAACAATTCAATATGGTGGTGCTGTTGGTTGGTTGATTTTATACACTGGTCTTAATGGTATCACACACAGACATACACAGCTCCACATATCGTATATCTTAATACCAGGGCTGTCTGTGGTCCAGATTACTGGAAGGGTTTAAAAAGCCAAATAAAGAATTTCTGTCGTATGTTTTACATTCAAAGTAAATATGGTCTTGTTCACCTTGTGGAAATTTTCATTAGGAATGTGATACAAACAACAAACTAAATCCACCTGCTGTAGTCATAGCTGTAAAGAGAACCTGAAGCCCAATCTGGTCTGTGGCTCCATCCATTGGTCCAAGTTCTTGGTGTTAAGTAAAGCTTACTATTCTACCCTAAATCTCAGGCTTTCCCCTTGACTGCCTTTTTCACTCTGTAAGATCGGATGAGTTGTAACAACAAACCAATCTAGGTACAATTGCTTGGGGCAATGGACTTCTTCTCTTACGCAGGCATCCCTTCTTGACATACATTCCCTCCAAATTACTAAGACAGCCACCCGTAATTTGAGCCTTACCTGGGTGGCTGAGTGACAGCCATCCATCACCACCCCCACCCTGGCGCACATGGAGAGGCCCTAGGGCGTAGCATGGCTTCCTGATTTCCATGGCTATATATTACAGTTTTCTTCTTACACCTTTTTCATCGACTTTTCTTCCAGACCATATACACCGATGAGAGGGTCCTTGTCCAACGTGTGGCATGACAGATATAAGATCTCTAATGATTGCCCGGAACATATTGAAACCATTGACTCAATGTGTCAAGCACTTACGAGTTTGATTGATGATGAAGTTAAAAGCGGCATTGGAAAGAACAGGATACTCTTGGGTAAGATTTAGAAAGAAGAAAATATTTGACATTTGTAAGAGAGCTCATCCTGTGAGTGGAGCCAAACCGGGGAATGTGGTGAGTGGTTATAGAGGCTTTGAGCAGCCAAGGAATCCCTGAATGCTTAGGTAGGGGTTGTGCTAATGTCTTTTCGGTGCTATCTTCAGCCATTATAGTTGGAAGCAAGTTCTGTTTCACCAGAGTTCGTAACATGGAGGTTCTGTTGCAAAGAGGAGACCCATCATCTGCTTCATTTGAGATGGGTCTTTTGAAGAAAATGGGGCAGGCATATGCTCTCTCTCTCTTGACACCACCTGACATAGGTTTTCTTTGCATCCCAGTTGGGATAAGAAGCAGAGCAGTAGTTGGAACAGATTCCATCTTATTATCTGAAAATGGGAAGTTCTGCTGTGCAGAACTCTGTTGAAAGAGCTAGCAACTGCACAAGAATAACGCTAATTTATTTGGAAAGCACTCCAGGTTTTCCAGGCACAGTACATAAGTTAAGATTAAGAAAACAATGCCGCCCCTGACTGAAGGCTTAACCTCCTAATAGACATAATAAAAAAAGGGGATAGGGAGGAATGAGATTCAACTGGATGGCCCAATTGCAAGGAGCAAGCTGGTGCCCATGTGTTGGGTTTTCTTTGCTGCATGCAACACCACACTTGTGGGAGGAATGAGATGCTGTGCCTGGGAGGCGGTAGAAGCACTGCTTCTGTTTCAGAGGAATTGTGGCAATGCAAGCCAGAAATAGGTGAAAAGGCCTAAGTAAACACGCTGACTTTTTGTGGCTACCAAAGTTTAATTGTGTGATGGAATGGCCACTGAGCAAATTACCTCTGGGAAAAGAGGAGCTAAATGGCCGTTTTTCCCCACACAGCAGGTGGAGAGGGCAGTGCTAGCTGCCTTCTCCCATTCCTGCATCATGGTCATCCCCTTCCACAGCTTTCAGTCAGTTTTGACGAGACTTGAGCAGGGCAACATCCTTGTGGATTGAGGCCAATGTCGTCTATCTCTTACACAGACTCTATGGCTGCTCAAATGCCTTCTAGACGAGGCTCAGAAAACACGTGAGAAATTTGCACAAGAACCTATTTTTGTGGAAATACGTTTTACTTAGAAACTATTGTTGCTCCTTAATTATTATTAAATTATCCAGGATCCCACCCCACCCCCCGAACTGGATCCAGCACCAAAGCAATTTGGGGAGGGGGTGGGCAGGACTAATGTTTAGCTAGGTTTTAATTAAAGACTGTGTCTTCTTCCCCCATGAACCGAGAACAGGGGGCTCAATCTTAGGGGTTACGCTTTGAGAGGAAGCTGCTTGTGAAGTATTCATTTAGACCAGGGCTTCCCAAACTTGGGTCTCCAGCTGTTTTTGGACTACAGTTCCCATCATCCCTGACCACTGGTCCTGCTAGCTAGGGATGATGGGAATTGTAGTCCAAAACCAGCTGGAGACCCAAGTTTGGGAAACTCTGATTTTGACCCTGCAGCCTAAACCAGGCTTCAATTCACTATTGTAGGGATTTTTTAAAAAAGAGATGATAATTTTTCCCCTTCATTTATGAATCGCTTCTTATGAAGCATCTTGAAGCAATGTCACAATACAATAACAAAAATGCAAATATAAAAACTATTTTGAATCCCGTACGCTAGTGACTGGGGGGGTCACAAAAACTAAGTGCAAAGCTGATTTGACAGGAGTAAATCAATCATTTAATTTTTCCAAAGTTCAAACCATGTGCAAGGCAGCTTACAACATATAAAAAATTACATAACCACCAACATAACAAAACTAGTCATAAACAGTAAACAAAACGTCAAAAAATATAAACTGGAAAATTTCCACATAAATCATAAGATCCAAAATAAAGATGTAAAAAATTAACATCAACAATGTTATAAATGTGAGGGTATGTGGTATAGAGGCAGAAGGAAGTTAATGTCCAGCTTTTTCCAAGCAAACGCCACTAGCAGACCTAGCAAAGGACAGACAAGTGATTCTTTAACATTACACGGCATTCTACCCTATTTCATTTATGAACTGCCCTCCATTGCATAGCAATCCCAGAGTAGTTTCCAGTAAAATGGTTACAACACAATACAATCAGTACATCAGAATACTATTAAGGGGCTATCCAGGATTTTACCAGGGCTATCCCAGTGCTTTGGGGAAGGGATGATGAAGCAAAGTGAATGTTCCACCAGTGCAAGGATTTCTGCTTGAGCCAAAGAACGTTCTCCCCATCCATGCCCCCTAAATTGGTTTGAAGTGAGACCCCTAACACTTTAGGGGAGCAGATTTGGGGAGGGTGTGGGGCACGCAGAGGAAAGATGGGGAAAGTAAATCTGGGCACTGATGGGACCTATGGATAGAATACAGCCCATAGCTTGACAACATACTATGCCCTCTCTTTGTGTGTGATTGCTCACATGAGGAAAAAGTTCTCTTCACATTTGAGTGAAATTGGTGTTGAGAGCACACCAATGAATAATCCAATATTGAGAAAATTTGCTTTTAATGTGGGAATGTCTAAAATCCCATCCAGATGCCACCAAGATCCTGAACGATGGAGCCAAAATACTCCTTGCCTGTTTTCTTTCTGGATCTGGCCACTCCCTGCTCTTTGAAGGGCCCTGTTTGCCTTGCCTTGGTGGCTCCTTGCCCTGGCTTGTGGAAAATGGTCCACAGAGTCTGTTTGATCTGGTTTCGCCATTTTACCTGCTGACACTGAAGCATATGAAGAGGAGCAGGTGTCTTCCATAGGGCCGGCTGGGAGGGCAGCTACACACAGCACATTGCACCGAGGCCCAGAAAAACAAGGCTCTTCTGGAGAGACATTTTCTGTCTGGAAATTCACTTTTGGGAGAATATGTTTTTGCGTGGAACCGCTCCGCTTCACAGAGATGGCTGAGCTGACTGGTGGCTGCCCAAGGAAAACTTCCTTTTGAGCTATTTAAAAAGAGCAGGTGAATTACCACACCATTTTTAAAAATAAGAATAAAGTATTGCAGTGAGTACATCTTGTATCTTAAGATCTCATCTTTTTTTTTACATAAGTGACAATATAATAACTCTGTAATTCAACTGGTAAGCATCATTTCAATAACTCAACTAGAGCCAAGCTTTCTCTTGGTTTAATAATTGTCACTTTTTCCATTTTCAACAACCTGCCAGTTTTTAAGCATCGATTCTTTTTTGTCTGTTTAAATACGTTACGCTAATGCACATTAAGTTCATTCTCTGTGCATACGGTGAACAGACCATAGCTCAATGCAGAGCACATGCTTTGAGTGCAAAAGGCCTCAGGTTCAACCCCTGACACCCACGGTTTGTTTGCATTTTCAAAGGATCACAAAGTACCGTATTTTTTGCTCTATAAGACTCACTTTTTCCCTCCTAAAAAGTAAGGGGAAATGTGTGTGCGTCTTATGGAGTGAATGCACACTGTGCAGCTATCCCAGAAGCCAGAACAGCAAGAGGGATCGCTGCTTTCACTGCGCAGCGATCCCTCTTGCTGTTCTGGCCTCTGAGACTCAGAATATTTTTTTTCTTGTTTTCCTCCTCCAAAAACTAGGTGCGTCTTGTGGTCTGGTGCGTCTTATAGAGCGAAAAATACGGTAGTTGTCATGAAAGACCTCTGAGACCCCAGAGATCTGCTCCTAGTCAGAGAAGAATATAAGAATACACTGGACAATAGATGAGCAGATAATCTCATCTTCGTGCATACCAAGTCATAGGTTTGCCCATTCCAAATTACGTCATGGGCAACTAGTCACTCTTAATAACTGATGGCCCTGGATATGACTATTGGTTGGTTAATTGGTTGGAATGTTCCCTAGTGTTTCTTGGTTTGTTTTCTTTTTGTTTACCTAGGTATTTGGAGATTTTAAGTTTGGCCTCACTGTAGTTTTGCTTGTTTCAATCATGTAAGAATTGTTAAATGTGTTGTTTCTTGGATCTGTTGCTATGATTTTGTTATTTTTGCATATTGCATTTTCACAGTTCATCTTTATTACTTTGTTCCCCATTCTGGGAAAATATTCCATTGTGGCTCACCAGATGTTACTGAACTCCCATCATCCCTGACCATTGGCCATGCTAGATGGGATGATGGGAGTTGGAGTCCAACAACATTTGAAAGGCCACAAATTCCCTATCTCCATTTGTGTCATATATTGCAGGATCGGGTGCAAGCTGCAGTTTTTACCTCTGCTGCACTGGCAGTGGAGTAAAACCATATATGATTTTTAGTTTTCTTTCTCAAAGTCTTTGCTTCCTCTCTTGTAGTTTTCTCAGGACCATTTTTTCTCTCTCCCTTATTTCTTCCTTCTACGAGTTTGGTACGCCACAGAAATGCTGATCCAAGCCAATGGGTTCCTGCCACCTGTAGTCACTTTCATAAGCAGCCAATGAAAATAAACCTTCTGTGACAGAGCCGTAGACTCGACAGAACGCCAAGGAATACATGCATGGTTTTTGACCCCTTGTTTCATTACAATAACACAGGACACACAACTACTTTCTTGTTGATTGCTAGGCTTCTTCCGTAGCTACCGAGCCATGGGAGAAGGAATATGAAAGTTGCCGTGTTTCCTATAAATATTGGCATATTCATTGGTTTCTGGGTCTGGACAGGATGACGAAGAAGAATGAGAAAGGGTACTGTCAGTTACTGAATAACACCCTGCACTGAACTCGTTGAAATAACTTGACTGGGGCAACTGCTCTGCTTAGCTGCTCTGTGCCAAATGCCCCCATATGTTATGTGTGGCCAATTTCAGACTTAAATGGCAACCACTGTATTTCTGCTGCAAGTGTATGCACAGTAAACTTGCTCACTTCAGTAAGATTTAAGCAGCATCACTGTGCCAGGATTGTAGTCACAGCCAAGTTTCAAGGCACCATGTTCTGTTGTTTTTTGCCACAAGCAACCTACCACATATAACTGAGATGATTAAACAAACCTTGTATGTCTCAGTCTGTATAGTATTACAGTGACGTCATTGGACAGACATATTTTGTCCATCCAGTGAAGTGTTATTGTTAGAGAGGGAAGAGAATTTTGTTTGGTCCACAAGGCATTTTTTTAAAAGAAGGCTTCTCCTGACATGTAATGCAATCATATAAGGAATATCAATTTTATTTATGATGAAATTGTTTTGCTGGTTTTGGAACTTGTAGGGATGGTTTTCTTGTGTTTCAGGGTGTGTTGAATTGTTTTTATTGTTTTCAGAGCTTGTGTTTTTCTGTTTTATTATGTTTTTTGATTGTACACTGCATTGATGGCTTTATGCTGTAAAGTGGGCTCTAAATTTGTTTAATAATAAGAAGCAAACTGATCTAATATGCAGTTCCTGGACTAATATATACACTGATCAGAATGTAATTATCCTTAATATACCACGTAATGACCAGAAGCCACTTGGGCATTAAGTAGCAAATACATACATCTCCAAATTTTGCAATAGAGCTCATGGCTCAAAACAAACAAACAAACTTAGCAAAATACATAACAAATGTGAGTTTATCGGGAAGACATTTAGCAGTGAGTGCATTGAGATAACCTATGATAACATGTGTATTTAAAAGCAAATTTAAGAATTACTTTTAAAACGCTATAGATTTCTGCAGAAACAGTATGAAATGGACTATAAAATGAAACATACAAAATTGGCACTGACAAGTCCATTTCATACATCCCTAGTTATTGAAATATACATTTTATTTTTAGATTTCACTTTAGACATTGAAAATTGGCCCCAAAACTCCCTTGTTATGACTGTGCCATCCGTCTTATGCTCAACACAAGCTTATGCAGGACTAGTGTAGGTTTTCATGGTAAGAATGGTGCTTTGAAATCACAGCATTTTCCCTTCAATGAAACCCACTGTTTCCAGATCAGGGGCCTGCAAAGCTTTCCCTCTCTGTAATTCTCCTGGGTACCATGTTTTTCTGAGTAATAAACTGCAGGCTTCCCACTACAAAACCAAATTTCAACAAACCAACTTCTGGCATTCAGGTTTTTTCCTGAATAGCAGGAACCACATGAAAGCTGTAAGCTTTTCTGTCCTCACAGAAGGTGACTGCATTATCAGGCGCTGCCAGTGAGTAATTCCAGGTTGCTTTGTGAGCTCCAGTGTAAGTGAATTTTAAAAAGAAAAGAAATGGAGAGAGAGAAATTGTGATCCTGTATACACTTAGCTTAGAGCCAGGCCAATTGATATCGGGGGGGACTTAATTCTGGATACACATGCAAAGGATTCTGCTGCAAATCATTTCCAAATTCAGAATGAGCTTTCAGTGTGCTCCATGTTGCCTCTGAATTCTGAAACATCCAAATGTATTTAGTTTTATGTATGCACCCTATGCACCAGCGTCTGACCATAAATATGCATCTATTAATACAGAGCGAAACTTGTCCACTGTATTTTTACAAGTGTTGCGGTGATGGCATCATTCGCTGGAGGGCATAAGGAAATAAGTAGAGGACTCGTGAGCAGTTATTTCTTTTTGAAAAAAGAACAAAGTGTGTAATAGTCGTTCATACCTACATTTTCATAGCAGACTTGTTCTTTCAGAAGATACCTGGAGATTTTCTACTACAGCATTCATGAGACAAATGGGAAGCAGTTTTGGGGGGATTTTTTGTTGCAATCCCTGTATGTTTACCTGAGTGTTAAGTCCTGTTGAACTCCGTGGGATTTATTTCCACATATAAGTGCACAAGATTGCACTTTTACACTGCAGATCTTTGTATATTTGCCTTGGTTAACATAGTGGGTGCCACTTCTTTGGGTTCCCATGATTTCAAGTCATGGGTTTGAAAGGGTTGGTTTTTTCGTCCTGCTGCTTTTCCCCGGGGAAACCTGCTGTTTACCTCTTTAGGTTTTCTGCAGATTGACGTCCGTTCTGATCCAGCAGTAAATGTCCATTCTGATCCAGCAGAGAGCCAGTGTGGTGTAGTGGTTAAGAGCAATGGACTCGTAATCTGGTGAACCGGGTTCGCTTCCCCGCTCCTCCACATGCAGCTGCTGGGTGACCTTGGGCCAGTCACACTTCTCTGAAGTCTCTCAGCCCCACTCACCTCACAGAGTGTTTGTTGTGGGGGAGGAAGAGAAAGGAGAATGTTAGCCGCTTTGAGACTCCTTAAAGGGAGTGAAAGGCGGGATATCAAATCCAAACTCTTCTTCTCTTCTTCTTCTTCTTCTAAACCGTTGGCTTTCCCAGGGAAATTAGCAGGGCAAATGAAGAACCTCTCAGACTTGTGCCTAGAACCCATGGGACAAGCAGTATAAAACATTGACCACACAGACGTGTGGATGAACCCTCAGTAAGCCTCCATAGAATTGCACTGCTAGATTCCGGTTTGGTCTTCATAATTCACCATGACATGGAAGGGAATTTGTGGCCATCCAGAGGTTGACTCAAGCTCCCATCATCCCTGACCATTGACCATGCTGGCTGGGGCTGATGGGAATTGGAGTCTAGCGGCATCTAAAAGATCACATTTTCCCCTTCTCATGCTTTGAGAAGCCACAAAAAAGAGGGGGCACCAAGTAAACCAGAAGTCTAATTGATTTGTCTAAAAGTATGAATAGTCCCTTGGAATCCCTGTTCAACTGAAACTATACAGTCCTTATATACAGTGAAATATATTGTGGGGTAGAGATTGGTTAAAAATAAAAAGTGTTCATCGCAGTCAATATGGACTGGGCTGCACAGACATTTGGCAGGCCTTTTTCCTTTGTGAACAAAGGTACAGTCTGTACAACTTGATTAAGTTTTAGCTTGCTCAAAAGTGTTTCCTACAGGGTACTGGAAAGCAGAAAGTCATCACTGAAAGCATTTCTGATAGTTTCTCAGAGCTTTGAATGTTTGCTTTAACATTGTTTTTCCCCTTAAAAATCCATAGGTGGTTTTTCAATGGGAGGAGGCATGGCGATGCAGTTAGCCTATAGGTACCACCAAGATGTAGCTGGAGTGTTTGCTCTTTCAAGCTTCCTCAGCAAGACCTCTGCTGTTTACCAGGTGGGTACCGAACTCTTTGCTAACTGTTTGTCCCATTGTGGCCATTTAAAATCTCAAAAGGTTGTGCCAGAGTGTAAACCACCCCACCCCCCAATTAAGTGGCAGGGAACCTGTACACTCCCTTTTCAATATCTTTTAGTTTAGCAAAGATAATGATTACTCATTAGTCTCAGCTTTAAAGCTAAGATCTCTGATACACTTTACTAATCACAGTAAACAATGACGGGCTTAGATGGACCAATGGTCTGAAAGTAGAAAGCAGTGGGCAATTGCTTATTGATCTTTCTGCAGTTCCTTACACTTGCTGGATATTCCATGCACTCACTAATCTAGGTGGATCACTGGGTATCCACTGTAAAATATCTCCCTTCTCTTCTCTATTATGGTAGCAACACAGATGTCTCCTTTGCTAACAGGCGCTGAAGAAAATTGAAAGGGAACCACCAGAGTTATTTCAGTGCCATGGAACTGCTGATGAACTGGTTCTGTATTCGTGGGGTGAAGAAACCAACAAGATGTTGAAATCCCTGGGAGTAGCGACTACGTTTCTGAGCTTGCCAAACCTTTATCATGAACTAAACAAAAGTGAGCTGGACAAACTGCAAGCTTGGATTTTGAAGAAATTGCCAGAGTAACCATGAACAATAAATGAAAGTATATATAGAAAAGAAATGCCATGGAATTTTCTGTGCTCTGTGGCTTTCAACCATGTAATATGATTATTTCCTATTAATAGACATAATTCATTTTTTTCACAGATATTCAAATGAAAATATTAAAAACTCACAGAAAAGTAAGTTGCCATAAATTTCTTGAGTTTTATCTGTTTAATTTCCCAGGTCTTGGTTGTGCCTACGATTTGTATATTTATTAAAAAGGATGAAATAGAATTATCAACCACTAGCAGGATCTCATCTCAATATGACGGGTAGCCTGCAAAGTCCAGAAACTTGACTTGGTGGCTCTGTGGTCTAAACCACTAAGCTTCTTGGGCTTGCCAATCAGAAGGTCGGCAGTTCGAATCCCTGTGACGGGGTGAGCTCCTGTTGCTCTGTCCCAGCTCCTGCCAATCTAGCAATTCGAAAGCACACTAGTGGAAGTAGATAAATAGGTACCACTGCAGCAGGAAGGTGAACGGCATTTCCGTGTGCACGTTGTGGTTCCGTTGTGCCAGAAGAGGATTAGTCATGATGACCATATGACCTGGAAAACTGTCTGTGGACAAATGCTGGCTCCCTCGGCCTGAAAGCGAGATGAGCGCTGCACCCTATAGTCGCCTGTGACTGGACTTAACTGTCCAGGGGTCCTTTACCTTACCTTTATCTTACTGTATCTATGAATTGATTTTATTACTAATGGTAATAGACGATTATGTCTCAGGCAAATAATTATTTAACAGAACACACAAACACAATGCAAACAGATCTTCAAGCTCACTTTAAAAGCAGTTTGCCATGGAGCATTGGGCAGGTATTGAACAAGCTTTTTGGAGTATTAAAATAGTTTTGATCATGACCTAAATCTCCCAGGTTGCAATCCTATGCAAAGCAGTTGGGCTTTGTTCTGTGCATAGATTTGCAGAGGATTGCATTCTGCCAAAATGGACTTATGAAATCCATTGATCCTGAAGCTTGCTGAAATTGTTTTCTAAATATGTTGTATGCTTTTTCTCCATGAACTGAAGCTGAAAGAGAGGGAGCCACTTTCATACAGCTTTTCAGTGATCACTTCAGAACCTAGCAAAAGTTCATTCAGAAGCACAATAAATAATTAGTCAATGTCCTTTACTGTTTAAAAGTAACTTTTTTTTTCTAGGGGCCTTTTTTAAACCAATATATCATGTAGCCTCTCATTTCGGTCTTTAAGAGTTGAAGGCCGTTTGGCAAATCTAAATGAAACAAATGAGTGGGCTTAAGCCGTCCGTTTCATGATACCTTCTGGAGCTGCCACTTACGTTGGCAAGGTACATAATTCAGCAAGCAAATGAAAACAGCTTCAAATTAGGCTTGAATTCTCCTGGGTTCTGTAAAGGTTTTCTGTTCTGCTTGGAAACAAAGTTTGGTGGTAGTTGGTTTTTTTTCTTTAAAAAAAAAAATCTTCCACCATTATAGATTGTTTTTAAAAGAGGGCTGCAATTCATGAATAGATTAGTGCTTTGAACAGCAATGCTTCCTAACTAATTGACTTGTGGCTGCAGACAGCTGGAGCCAGAGAACAATTACAGGCAAGACTGAAACCAGCTGATCAAGCCTAAAATTATTGGTAACAAAACTGGAATGCCCAAGAGGTTGTGGAGTTAAATTAGTCTCCCCTATTAAACCATCTGACAGTCAAGTGGTTTTAAAAGAAAGAACGGAAATAGACCTTGGATCCTTTAATAACTTCATTCAGGGAAGGAAAAGGATGGGGGGAGAGCTGGATTTGTGGATTGAAGCGAGAGATGTATGAAAAAGACTGGATGTGCTTGAGCTAATTAATTTATTAAAGTGGGGTGGGGTGGGGGGTTTCTATCAGTTTGAACCACCCTGCAAGAGATGCAGTTAAAACAAACAACATCAAGTCAGTATTTATTTAGTATATTTCTAACTTGTCCTTCATGGTTAAGATTACAGGGTAGGCTATGATGCAAATTACAACTGCAAAGGTGTTTAGACACTACAGTGGTACCTCAGGTTACATACACTTCAGGTTACATACGCTTCAGGTTAAAGACTCTGCTAACCCAGAAATAGTACCTCGGGTTAAGAACTTTGCTTCAGAATGAGAACAGAAATCGTGCTCCGGTGGTGCAGCGGCAGCAGGAGGCCCCATTAGCCAAAGTGGTGCTTCAGGTTAAGAACAGACCTCCAGAATGAATTAAGTACTTAACCTGAGGTACCACTGTACAATGAATCAGCCATAAACTGATTTACAAAAAGATCAAAAGAAGAGTGTGAACTTTAACATTACAAAATTCATGAAGACCCTGTGAACTGCCAACGTGGGTGACTTACTCCCTTGTATTTATTGATTTACCTCTTATTTATTAATTTACCAAGCACCAGCTAAGGAGGCCAGCCTCTGGGAAGCCTGCAGACCAGCCACAAAGGCAACAGCCCACTCCCCTATCCTTGCCAGCAACTGGTGTTAGCATGCAGTCTGTGAATCCACAGGTCCCATAAAGCCTAGCCACCATGACTGTTAGTCATTATCCTCCGTGAATTTCTCTAATCCCCTTTTAAGCTAATGGTTACCATCATATCTTGTAGCAGTGAATTCTATGCATTAATATGTTATGTAGAGAAAGAGCTGTGGAAGAAGAGATGTGAGGAAAAGGAAGGCAGAAGAGGGGATGGAGTGTCTCTGCGTTTCTGTCTTTCTGTAAACAAAGTGGCACTCTCCACGGACAATAGGGTTGCCATATTTCAAAAAGTGAAAATCCAGATAGTTGGTCATGCTAGGGAATGTATTCAGAAGGGACTCAGTAACGGTGTCCTATAAGCCAGGTAATGAAATTCCTGCTAATGTATTGTCCAAGATTGTATCAAGGGATCAACACTGTACCTATGTGCAGAAGTTGGGTTTGTACTGATACTGTACGAACACGCTGCCCAGTGATGTTCACAGAAAGGGGGAGGATGTTGGTTTCTGATTTCCCTCACTGAGCAGCAACTGCAGTCACAAGACATTGTTTTACATTCCACAGTCTGTACTGTTGGAGTTTCTCACGGGAAAGGGAGACTGGATGTGACGTACACTGGTTTCCTGTTTTTCTCTGTGTGAGTCTCTCCAAGCTGTCGAGGAGAGAGGATGCATTTTTCTGCTCCTGCAGAGGCAAGATGTCTTTCTGTAATATACCAGCTTTGAACTGTAAATAAAGCAATTTAGAGTATGTAGCACGTATTACTCATCCTTCCGCTGGGCACGACAGGCTCTGCTTTAAATCAACAGTTTAGCACTTTTTTTGGCAAAGTTGTTGGGCTTTTTTGGCAAAATCTCAATAAAATAAAATGAGTTTTTGAGCTATTTTTATTTTATTTGACCTCTTCCAACATGGGCTACTATACGTCCGGATTTTCCCAGACGTTTCTGCCATTTCCACCCTGAAGTATCCATGAAAATCCTTACATATGGCAACCCTAAATTGTACAATAGAGAGGAATTGGCAGGCTAAGCTCCAGGACTTGCAGGGCAAAACATCTGGGGGATTGGGGGGGGAAGGGGGGACCTATAGAGTTAAAACCAGGGCTTTTTTTCAGCTGGAACTTAGAAGAACTCAGTTCTGGCACCTCTCAGGTGGGGAACCATTGCCATTCTAAGAGAACGAGGAAGGTGTTCATGGTGAGTTTCTAGAAAAATAGCACTGGTTAAAACCCTCCAAAATAGCTCCATGGGCCTGGAACACTGGCTGAAGGAAAGCAGAGGATGTTAGGATATTTCCGTTCCACCTTAAAAGGGAGCAGGCTTTGTGAGTCAGAGTCTGCGCATGTCCTGTTCACAGGATGTTTATGTTTGCTACTGCTTTCGTTTCTCTCTCTATGTCGGAGACACTGACGCAGGCAGTCATGTCTTTCTTTGTTCTGATCAACGCTGAATAAAACTTGTAAATAATGCTCTCCTGAGTGCGACTTTTGCTGTGACTATCTGCTGATAGAGTGTGCATGAGCTCTGGAATGTGGCAAGATATTTTCTAGAAACTCATGTCACTAATTGCTGATACTGCGTGCCTACGGGAGATCGATGGATCGCCCGGCAGACGGCTTGGGGCCATGATGGACTTTGTCTCCCTGGCAGTATCCCAACAGAGGACAGGGTTTTTTGTTACTTATTTTTACATAATATATCTCACCTTTTCCTCGAAGGAGCTTAAGGTGGCATGCACAGTTCTCCTGCTTCTCCATTTCACCCTCATAACAACCTGGGGAGGTTGGTAAGGCTGAGAGGCAATGACTGGCCCAAGGTCACCCAGGGAACTTCATGGCCAAGTGGGGATTTCACCCCTGGTCTCCCAGGTCTTAGTCCAGCATCCCAGCATCACACTGTCTCTCTTAACTCACTCCTCACCCCTACACCCCACTGGGATTGGGGTTGGAATGGAGATTCCTGGAACAGGGCATAGCTGGCAGCTCAAAACACTGAGCAGCCCCCTCTTGTGCCCCATTAGCTAGCCAAATGTTGTTTGTCTTGGTCTAGTTTTTGAACTTATTTCAACCAAAGCAGGATGGTACGATGGGTTCACCACGTAGGGATTTTTTTTAAACAAGGTACTCTGTTTGTGTTACATAACTGAGTGTTGACTTACCTTCAGAAGTCGGAGCCGTGTTGATGATACAACGATGATATCAGAATTATTCCAAAGGCCAAAACACATTTGTGCTGACAAAAAGTGAAAAAGAAAAGATGATAGGCAAACCTTCTGTAAATGCCTCATGAAATCATCCTTGGCTCTTTCTCGGTTCATTTTTTCTTTTTTTAAAGAAAGAAGAAAGTGGATGCTTCTGTAAGCAAAATATGAAAGCTTCTAAAGGGCTGGCTGGGCTGCCTTGAGAATGGCAAGCTTTTCCTTGCTGTGAAAACAAATGTTCTGAAAGTGTCTTTGATTAATGCCAGACTATTGCCATCTCTAATCTTCTTCATATGGTAGGGAAGAACTTGTGATCTTGTCGTCAGGGCTACATTACCGCATTTGTTATGATCGCTGTAGGTAATTCATAAATGGCTCTTGCTTTTCATATTGAAAACTCATTTTTCAGGTTGTTCGTTCAAATTATGAAGTAATAAGTCAACCTAATCAAACCATTACACAGGAAGATGCAGGGCAAAAGACAGCAGAATCTGCCCAGCTGGCTTAACTGAGATTGCATCTTTCACCGCTGACTTCAGGCATATTTTCCATTGCCTGCCCACTCTGGAAAACAGAGAGCATCTCAGAACCTCTGACATCACTTTATGGATTTTGCAAAAATGCACATTTCCCAATCTCCTTTCACAGTTTGCGCATGCAGGATAAGTAGATGCAAATAGGCACATTCATGCATGCGCACAGTCTCAACCATTCCATCAAAAAAAACTGGGATAAATTGTTGCATTCTATGTTCTTCACATATCTAATTGTGATATTTCTCATCCCCAGCAGAACAGATACAAGGGAGGATCTTCTTGGCCAGCGCCACAATGGGAAGAATATTAAAGCACCTCTTTCACTCACAATAGTGTTGTATTTTAAAAGTGAGGTATATTGAGTTAAATTTCAAATGGGAACCAGTGTTTCAGAGAAGCCCCTGATGGCCTGCTTGTGTAAAATGGGTGGCTCGGATTACAGAACATCTACAGAAAGACTCTGTTGCTGCTGCAGGAACTTGCTGCTGATCTGCCATCTCATAATAAAAATGGACTGAGCAAGTGTACCACAGTGGCTGATATAGTGCATAGAAGTAGGCACTTCCCAGCTATAATAAAAAAGGTCTGTTTGTCCACTAGCCTCTCCCAGCAATGAGCACATTCAATCCGTAGGAGAGTGAGATTCTAGGATTCTATCCCTGCTTGGACAATTAAGGTATCGTAGGCATACCCTAGGAAAGTTCAACCTGAAAGCAGTGGTTTAAAATGTTGGCTAAGAACTGGGAAGACTTAAGTTTCAAATCTCCACTCATTCATGAAATGTCCTGGGAAACCTTGGATGAGTCAATACTTCACAGTGTAGCCTGCTGCATTGGTTTGCTGAGAGGATACAATGGGAGTGAGAAACAAAACCATATATTCTATCCAGACTAAAGATGGATGAATCTGTTGTTTTTGGTTTTTCTCAATTTCTCAATTTTCAATCTTAAGCTTGGTTTCCCCCACTTCTGCAACATATTTGCAACTGTGTATGCATGCTTCTCCCGATATACCCATTTTTGCATGCAATTTTGCTTCAAATATGGATTTTTGCAAACAATTTTCCACTAATTGAATATGTTTCAGTACGTTGTTTTCCTTAACATACACATTGCTGAGCACACCTTTTATTAATATATGCCTTTTTGTATGCATTCTTTGCTTGGAGCAGAGCTATGTTTTGGATTGTTGTTGTTGCTGCTGCTGCTGCTGCTGCTGCTGTTTTTATAGTGTATTGGTTTAAATTTGGTACGCTTGCATTAAAATGAAAGCTGAATGAATTTCTTCCCTATCCCTTATCCTCCATAATTTTTTCCTCCACTCCTATTTCATTTTCAAAGGTCTACTGCCGATCAGAAGGTTGGCGGTTCAAATCCCCGCAATGGAGTGAGCTCCCGTTAGGTCCCAGCTCCTGCCCACCTAGCAGTTCAAAAGCACGTCAAGTGCAAGTAGATAAACAGTTACCACTCCGGCGGGAAGGTAAATGGCGTTTCCGTGCACTGCTCTGGTTTGCCAGAAGCAGCTTAGTCATGCTGGCCACATGACCTGGAAGCTGTCTGCGGACAAACGCTGGCTCCCTCGGCCTATAGAGTGAGATGAGTGTGCAACCCCAGAGTCGTCCACGACTGGACCTAATGGTCAGGGGGTACCTTTACCTTTACCTTTTACTGTCTCAGACCTGAGGATAAGGCCTGCTATATGTGCTTCAAAAGCAAATCTTGAGCGTGTGGGCTGTTCAGAGGACTGAAAGCAGTAGACCAATCAGACGGCATCTGATCCTAATTTATTTTGTCTCTTTTTATTACCCTTAATTCAACTTTCCCTCGCTCCCCTCCCTTCCAAATAGAAAGAATAAGAAAATCGAGATGGAACAAATACGACGTGGAGACAGTATTATTTCATATTTGATCCCAAAACATTTTTTTTTACAACTAGGTTATAAGCTCCTGAAAGTTGCTGTTCATAATGGAAACCTTGGCAGATCCTGAATGGCGCTGCTGTATGTTATGAAGCTTCAAGTTTCCCCCCACTTCTGAACCTAAAATAAAACTTAGTCGCAATACTTTCCTTACAGGCTCCTATGTGGCCCGCCAGTAGGCGTTGCTGGATCTGTCTGGAGTTTCCTCAAATGCAGCCACTAGAATATTTTTCTTCCTCTTGAGATGACAATTCGATTCAATCAGCAGGTTTCCACAAGGCTCTGGGTGAATTCAGATGAGAGTTTACCAAGTGGTGTGGTTATTTAACCACATCGCCTACACATGATGGTGGTTCTGCCACCACTGAAGAGCATTCTAGCTCCTCAGTGTCTCCACACTAATGGCTTCCTGTGCGCTTGTATGCCCAGAAGGCAAATTATCACTTGGTAAATGGTTGTCACCATGATCTCACTGAGGCAATCCGCAGTTAGAACACCTATACAGAACTTTAGAAATCTGAAAGTAAATATTTAAAAATTCAGTAAACCTTATATTTTTACTTAGCTTGTCCTCAAAATAACATACACAAGCTTTGTGTAGTTGAGCCATGGCTGTATTCAACTATGCAGGTTTTCTTAGGAGCAAATCCCGCTCAGTTCAGTGGGTTTCATTCTACCCAAATTGGAATATTTACTTGAGAGTTATCCATATTGATCATGGTAAGACTTACTGACCTGTTAGAGAGATACAGAAAAGCAAACATGGCAAACATTTTGCTTTTCTCGGAACCACTGTAAAATCCCCTTTCAATGTCCATATGCCTGAGAGTGTAAATGTACAGTGTTGTGCTCATGGAAGAGCAAAAATGCCTCTTGAGCCTTCCTTAATAAAGTATCTCAAGTTTCAAAGTTAGAGTACAACTTTCCAAATGCAGGTGGGCATTGCTTTATGTTCCTCAAATTTCCAATCATGCAGAGCATGAAACATTTTTGCAGGCAATGCTAAACTACTCTGAATTACACGGCTATCTCATCTCTACCTGGAATCTTATGTATCTGTTGGAAATCTAAAGGAAAACCAACCTATACACTAGTGGCTTCAGGTAAAACAAATGTTCATTAGAGAAGCTTCTAGCTATGGTCTAGTACAGTGGCTCCCAAACTTTTTCCCAGCAGACCTCTTGAAAATTGCTGAGGGTCTTGGCAGACCTTTTTAGAGCTTCATCTGGGCAGCCACTTTGCTGAAGCCAAACAGGTCTAGGTGAGGTCAGTGCCTGGACAGGACCCCCCTGTGGAACCTATACATGCAACCTTGAGTTTTGTGATTGAAGAAAGTCAGGGTATAGATGCTGTGTGTTATTTACACTGACTGGCAGCAGCTGTCCAGGATTCCAGGCAGGAGGCTCTCCCAACCCTACCTGGAGTTGCCCGGGAATGAACCTGTGACCTTCTGCTTACAAGGCAAACTCTCTGCCACTGAGCTATGGCCCTTGACCTGCGACTGTGAACTCAGCTCATTCCTGTTGCTCCATGCACAGATGCACCATCTTTAATTCTAAGCATATATTTCTTGCTCCTGGGGCCTGTTAGTGAATCTTGGGGTTCTAGCACAACACAAGCCTGAAGTCTTCTCACCCCTGGAGAAGATAATAGTAACCTAGATGGTCTGACTCAGTATAAGAAGAGAAGAAGAAGAAGAGTTTGGATTTGATATCCCGCCTTTCACTCCCTTTAAGGAGTCTCAAAGCGGCTAACATTCTCCTTTCCCTTCCTCCCCCACAACAAACACTCTGTGACGTGAGTGGGGCTGAGAGACTTCTAAGAAGTGTGACTGGCCCAGGGTCACCCAGCAGCTGCATGTGGAGGAGCGGAGACGCGAACCCGGTTCCCCAGATTACGAGACTACCGCTCTTAACCACTACACCACACTGGCTTGCTTCCTTTGTTCCTAAGAGACACACAGTACAGAAATGCTTATTATTAATATTTCACATCACTCCCCAAAGGTCACGTCTTTCAGTAATGTCTTATTTTGAATCGGCGTTTTTGTAACCAAGGTGTCAATCAGCTTAATGCGTGTTCACTCCTTATATATGAAGTCATTTTTCTTACATGAAGTCATGAAGTAATTGCCTGGAAAAAGGTAAACATTTTTTTAACATCCATGAGGCAAGCCTAAAAAGTTGCCTGATACCTCACACAACTGAAACTAAATAGTGGTTGTATCAACAAGAAATCTGTCTTGTATCTTTGCAGTGATGTCATGTGGAACCACCAGCCCCTGCGCTTTCACATGAGGCTGTTTCAATGCTCTTCATTCATGCGCAGGAACCTCATCATGATATCACTTTTTCCCCTTTATAGCAAAGGGAAGTATATAATAGGGTGGTGGTGCCTGTTTGATTTATGTGTGTTTTCTAGTAGGTTTAGGTTTAAGAGTTAAAATGCTGTTGGGGACAACTTGGCGAAAAGTATGGCTTCGTTGTAAATTTTTCTGAAGAGGATTTGGCTTGCCTGTTTACTGGTTGCTTTAGAACCATTTACCCGGCACTGTTACAAATACGTTATTTGGTAAAATTGATTCAGAATAAAAGCTAAAACCATGCAGAGTGGATGGAATTAGATGTTCAGCATAGATCTGGGCCTGGGAACCCCAGGTAGCCGCCACCAAATAGCAGCAAAGTTTAGCTGGATGGTGTGAGTTGCAGAAACAAGCTGGAAGGCGGGAGGAAGAGCTCAAGTCTTCTTCCCTGGGCCAGCATTCAAAAATATTCTTATACCACTTTAGCAGTTGTGGAGAATCCTTCGGATCTGTAGTTTGTTGAGGACACTGGGAGTTGTAGTTCTGTGAGGTTAGCAGCCTTAACACACTAGTTTCCATTATTCTTTGCGGAAGCCATGCCTGTTAAACTGATATGAGTGCTTTAAATATGACCTTCAACTGATATAATCAGTATGCAATTATTATTCTTATTGTTATTCTTTTATTTATTTATATTTTTGCCTTCAACATGGCCTCACATGGCATTTTTTGTTCCTGTTTCACACAACAAGGGGACTGAGCAAGCACATAAGGATGTAAGACACAAACTGACACAGAAACTTTGCATGACTAGAAAGCAAAAAGGAGAGAGAGAGAGAGAGAGAGAGAGAGAGAAGCAAAGAAACTTCCATGGTGGACTCATGACCATTTATCCAGCACACAAACAAAGACTCTACAGGAGAAACAGTGCACTCCATAATTCACGTATATCGCTGTGTTAATGGCTTCCTCCATATTGACATCTTGAACTATCTCTTCAGATTGGGTGGGGGAGTGTTTAGCTTGTCTTTTCTCTCCTTTCAATATGTAATGAAACACAACAAAAATAAATATTCTAAAAAATAAAAAGGTGTAAAGGAAAGCATCGTGTTACTAAAATGATCGGCACCTGTGCCTAAATCAGCAAATAACTTGCCACCCCACCCCCCCACCCCCCGTCAGCATCACTAAATTCTTCTTGGAAGTAATATATAGTCATTTTTCTTCCATGCCAGGAAATCAGGAAGTTTGTTACCCTGTCAGCTTCTCTGACAGAACACTGCTACCCTCAAGCTTGGCTGTGTTTGTGTTTGGCAAGCTGGCTGGCCGTGCAACAAACCTGTTCCTCACACACACATGTGCTGAAGCAGTTGTGACAAAAAGTTGAGGCAGGGAGGGAGGACTCTTCATGCAGCTGTGACAGGTTTGGCAGTGACTTAATTCCAAAATCCTCCTGTTGATGGGCTGTACTTAAATGTTCCACTAAAAAAAACCCACACCAATCCACTTAAATGTTGCATATTGTAAAGCATCCAAATGCTCATACAAGATGTGAAAACAGAAAAGGGTTGAAAATTGTGGTAATAAAACAAATTTCTCTCTCCGGCTCCCTTTTAGAGTTGCCTTGGCACCTGCCTGTCTCTCTCTATTTGCCTTGGCACCTGCCTGTCCTTTCCTGGAGATGTGTTTCCTGAGGGTATGAAGTGACCAAGACAAACTACTCATATTGCCCATTTTTATTCTTAGGAAAAGCTACTCAGAGAGAGTAGGATTCATAAAACATCAGCCCCTAAATAAATACGTGGACAAATTCCTACTTGCATGAGTGGAGTTTTATGGAGAGTTGGAGTTCTGTGGCCATGAATGAATAAATGACAAGAGGGTCATTTCTATTTGGTGTGTGTGCGTGTATTTTTTTTTAAAGCTTCTAGTAAAGTACATATGAAAGAGATGCTTCAAAAGAATGCTCTTTGCCAACATATTTCTCTCTCTCTCTCTCTCTCTCTCTCTCTCTCTCTCTCTCTCTCTTTGTCAGCTTTTGTTCACATCCACATGACATGTTAGTTATTTCCCAATTGCCAGTCTGGTTTGAAAGGGGGGAAAAGTTATATCTTGATTCATTGGCCCAGAGTTGTCTTCATTTAATAATTTCCCATTTGCCAGAAGATACAGTAAAAACAGAATTAACTCGTGTTTGAACTGTGCACTGTTTGTTCCTTAAAAAGCAGCCTTGCAAATGAGTTTACACAAATTATTAAACCCACCCACTGCCCCCTAAAAACATGTTTAAATAAACTTTCTGCCTTCATAGATAGACCTGTGTCAAGGATGGGGACTCCGTGGTCCTCCAAAGGTTGTTGAACAACTCCCATCATCCCTAACCATTAGAGTCCAGCAAAGTCATATTCGCCATCCATTTTTTGTCCCCAAAGGAGAAGAAAACCCCAGATATGGTGGATAATATTTGGAGAAATGATGCAAAAGCAGGTGAAGAAAAGAAAAAGGAAATATCAGAAAAGCGCTCAGAAAAACGGCTCTTGAATAATTCCAGCTTTGAATTATTCTTGCTTCTTCAGAGGTTTGGCACTCACCGTGGCCTCAATTTCAAAAGAGAGAGTATGGAGCAGGTTGTCAGCATGTTATAGTAGGACTGGTGAGAACCCTTGTTGAAAGCTCCAATGACGAATCACTCTCTCTTACCTGAACCTACTTCCCAGGGTTGTTGTAAGGGTAAGATGGGAAAGACCATGTATGCCACCCTATGTTTCAGAGAAGAAAGATGGGATAGAAATGCAATAGATAAATGCATTTAAAAGAAAGACCTGTCCAATGTTCAGCAAGTCTAGGTTTGTCCCTTTCCACTAAGCAGTGACAGGCATATAACTGGGCAGGTCTATCACCAATACTGGTGTAAAGGAAACCCATAAAAATTAAAAAGACGATGGTAGAAAGCAGCAAAAATACATTTGACTGGGGCGGGGGGGAAGCATATAATTACTTTGTTTTCTTTTCCTTAATTGTTTAAAGAGAAGCCTAGGGGCAGGGAATGTGTGCATAGTTCATCCATTAGTTAATAACCATGTCACAGAATCCTAAATTACAACCAAATTAAAGATCTTGGCATGGAGAAAGCCTTATCTGGCCCACTCGAGTTAACAACTTTGCTGGAATGGATTGTTCGTGGAGGTTGTTTTCTTTCCCAGATAGCTACAGGATGTGAACTTCTAGAGGGAGCTGGCGTGAGTCTCTTTCTTAGGGATAAGCACCACAAAACGGGTGTGCCATCTAAATGCACCCTCTGAAAAGACTCGCCAAGGGAAATTTGCAAATTGCTGACCTCAGCAGGCAAGGCTTCCTTCATCCGAAGTGGGGAACCCTATAACAAAAAAAGGGGGGGATATGTTTGAGTTGTTTATTTTGGAGCCTGCTCCTCTCCGCTCTCAGTGGTGACCTAGGAATGAGCTCACATTTGGAAGCAAATCTGTCTTCTGTTTTCACTCCTAAAGAATTACCTACTCTCTAAGCTCCTAGTATTAGAAGTAGACTTGTATCAAAAATACAATATGGAATCCTGGCAGGAGTGAGGGAGAGGACAGATATATCACAAATTCCAGCAACCAGGCATGTGGGAGAGACAGTAGCAAATAGAAGGGAGCTTTCTTAGGCCCAGGCAATATGCAATGCTCAATTGTCTCTCCAGCCTGTGTTTTTACTGGTGATGGATAGATGTGTTTCTGATCCCTGTCAGGTTTTGCATGACTAACATTCATTCATAAGTTTGTTCATTTATAAGTCTGCCGAACCCCATTTCTGCCTTAATTATCCTATGGTGGGGGTTTTTTTAAGTAAAAAAAAAGTACAAGGAGTTGTATTTTAATGATGCATACAGAATTTTAAATGTATTTTTTAAATAATACACATTTCATAAATATATTTGAAAACATAAATTTTTATATATTCATTTTTAAACTTTTTTAGGGTTTGGGAGGAGAGCCGAGAACTGTATCACAAAATTCAGTGACATTTGGAGGGTAGCCGTGTTCTCCAGACAGATATAGACTTCCAGGGGGGGGGCAGTTCATATCAGGATTCAAAAATAATGAATTCCTCAAACACCCCAGTTTTCACCCAGTGCGCAGAAAAGATATGGGTACTGCTGAAAACCACTGCTTTCTCTGGCCACCAATT